CTCCTGCCGGCGATGCTTTTTTATACTTTTTGCAACAAAGGCTTTGTTGGCAAAGTCCTCCCGCAACATCATCTCTTGTTGCATAACTTTCTTGATTCACACCGCACATGTTATCATCTTTTCAGTGAAAAATTTCTGCAACATGATTCATGTTCCAAAAGTCCTCTCGCAACATGATCTATGTTGCAAGAAAGGTGAAGACAAAAGATAATCTACAACACCACCACTGTTGCAAAAGTCCTTCCGTAACATCTTCTATGTTGCATAAAAAGTTAAAGACAAAATAAAAATTTAAGTGAATATAATGCTTCGATGGTTTTGCAACAAAGCAATGAATTTCACAACATCTACCTTGTTGCAATTTCATGACTATCTGTGGCACAATCCAATGACTCGGGAGGGGGCGGATCATCTAAAAAGATCTGGAGGGCGATGCATAACGCGACCTATATGGCCCCATTGTATCACTATTCACGAACAGGCTCCAGCCATTTGATAAACATTATTTTCCTTAATAAATTGTATTTGTTCAGTGTATTCTATATCACAGAAACGTGGCCTAGCATTAGAGCTTGCAGTATGAGAATCAAACAGCAGGGATTCCCCTACATGCCGTGTACATGACCAGAGCTGCGGCGTGTTGGCTGGCATGGGCGCACGGCAGTGAGGGCTGGGCCGGCAACCTGGAGACACCGAGTAGTGTGTGGATGCAGACAAGCCTGATGAAAGCGGCATGTGGCAACCGGAGGCAAAGGTGTGCGGCGGTAGCAGCGGCTATTGATGCTAGCGAAAGGGTTGAGTATTGCCTGCGAACCCTATATGAATAGTAAAATAGAAAAGGTACAAGTGAAATTTAAACAAATCTAAATTTCCGGGTATCAAAACTGGTTGATGATTCTACTCACGTGTGAAGTTTCGTTAAGGCAACCTACGATTCATAGCGAAAAAATACTGTCTGACCTACGATTCTTTCAAACATTTTTATACAATCAATTTTTTTGACTTATCTGCCGAGAATACGACGAATGTCATTTCTTTACGGAACTTCATCCGGGAGTAGAATGAACAACCAGGTTTGATACTTTGAAGAAGAAAAATCAAGGTATTTCTACTTATTTTACAATTCATATAGGGTTCACCGGAACACAAGAGCTCCAATGTACCATAAAAGTTCCCTTAAATAAACACAAATCTTGTAAGATTCTAATGGGCATGACATTCCAATTGTTTGTTTTTCCTATTACTACGTTCTTACAATCCTATGAATCAAAAAGGCCCTAAGTTGAGAGTAAATATTAAGCTACTTCACGACTTTTCTACTAATTGGTATCAGACGATCACATGCAATTTAATTAGTGCGATACTATTTGACAATAAACATGCCACATGTCAGATTTAGTCAGTTCTCCGAACTTGTCTAATGATATTTGGAACCATATGTTAATATAAGAAGTTAGCCTAGCTTACTTGGATAGAGAAGTTGATATTTTGAAACGGGGGGAATACTATTGTACATGCCGGCTATTAGGTTGGCTCTAACTGACATGGCACCTCGTTATAACCATGCTCTAATATGTTACCATCATATAATACTTTTCAAGACAAAATGAGTCTATAAATTAATAAGTACAACCACCTATAACACTACCTTTATGTTACTCCCGACTATGAAGGTAGTAACATAGTCTAAGTTACTCCCCACTATGACTATCGCATCTGGAGAACAAGTAACTGACTACATATTGTACATGTTTGAACCAAATGCACGAGAGATACACAATAATTGTCTACTAAAGTTCATGATTTGCCTTCCATTCAATACGTGTATAAACGTGCTCGAATACTCATAACTGTACTACTTACCGATACGAAATCAATGCAAAATGGTACTTGTCAATAATGTAGCACGCATATATAATGTTGAACTTGCAGCAAGCTTGACAACCCACCTGTTGACACAAATTTATATTGCCGGTATCAAATAGCTCATGACTTAGGAAAGCTGAAAAAGAAGTAGCATAGGGATACATGCCCAAAGAAGAAAATTAGATACCGGTTGTGTGATGAGATCGGGAATGGGAGACTTTGGGAAAGAGAGTTGTGCTAGCATGTGGCGACCTTAGGAACTCAACCATACTTGCATGCATTCCGGCATTCGTGCATTCATCGATGCTGTCTAGTGTAGCTCGATATGGCTCCATACACCAGGATGTGGAAGCGTGGGAGTGTGTGGAGTTTATTCATTTTGGGTTCACGTTTGAGTGCATAGTTGCCCTACGAGCTTACACGCATGGGTCGACTGGGCGCACATTGGTCGTCACAGAAAAGTTCGTACTAGTGAATTAGCATCATTGACAACGGCATTTAGCTGTGCATTGATGCTTTTGAGGAATCTACAACGTCGCATCCTTGCAATCTGCCAATAAAGAAAACCGTTTTATCATTGTGTTCGCGTCGTACATGGATCTCCTGGATGATTCCGGCTGGACGGTGAAATTCTGAAACAGCTTCCGGCCTGACCAGGATTTCCCTATACGTATCCGACTCTATATCCAAATCATAGATACGCCGTGCAAAGCTCCAAACCCAAAGCAGCTAGAGTGGAGGTGTTAGCTGGTTTGATCGCCACGACCAGCGGTAATTCTCATACGAAGAAACACACAAAGAAAGAAGATCCAAGGGTGCAGGTTCTGCCATGTTGCCCGCCATGGTTGGGCCGCCGAGGAGCGTGATGGTTGAGCCGGCGAAGCAAGTTTTTCCGGTACCAGAAATCCACGCGGCCGCTTCCTTGGCGAGAGAGGTCGTGACACGCTTAGCTGCGTCCCACCCACGTGTCACGACCCATCCGTCAGCAACGAGTTCTGTTGGAAATATGAACAAATTAACTACGAGATTTAATCCGAATAAACAGAAGATAAATCATGACAACAGCAGCAGAGATTAAACTAATCATGCGAACTAGCATAGCAGATGAACATATCACATCTAGGGCACATATTAGAAGCATGAATTCTACCACGATCTCGAACAGGAAGGATAGAATCACATACGGTGCAGCGGGTGCAGCACCGCCGGCGTTGACGTTGTCGTCCATGTCGTCGAGGACGAGGTTGCCGAGGTCGGGGAAGAAGTCGTCGTTCGCGAAGTCATCGCTGCCAGCAGTCGCGCGAGTGCGCTCCCCAAAAATCTGATCGCCCCTCTCCCGTACAGGATCATGAGAGGCAGGGTTCCGGAGGCCTGTTGTCCCTTCTCGCGGTGCACGCCGGAAGGAGGGATGGAGAAGACTTGTTTGGCGGCGCAATGATCTGGAACGGTGGTGAGAAACCATACGAAGCGGCGGCGGCTAGGGTAGACGTCTGCCTGACTATATAGTGCGGGCCGGGTAGGTCGTGGGAGTAAACCCCACGTCCGAGTCGTCACGATCCAAAAGAATCGGAAACGGTTCAGTAATTAACGCGTCCGTTAATTATTAATTAATGACATTAATTTTCCCATGCAGCAAAAATATAGACAACGTGCATAGCTCTGTCCTCGGCTCGGCTCAATCCCGCAACCCGCGGCGCGGCGCGGCGTGACGTGGCGTGGCGAGGCGAGCGAGTAGGTCTCCTTTTCTCATGCTCATACAAGTGGTAGAAGAGCTCACCTTATAAAGAGGTGCAACTCTCTCTCAACTTCCAGGGTGGGACTAAACTTTAGCCTCACTCACTCCACTCACATGTGTGCATGAATGGGCCAAGAGAATTTCAGAAATTTTAGTTGCGCTTTGGGCCAAAGGCCTACTAGCAAAATTCCAACAATCCCCCACAAAGTCTCATTGGCACATCTCATCATTTAGTTCCAAAACATTGTTTTATATATCGGTGCTTAGTG